GGGGCACGAACACGTGTCCCCTGCATCGGCAGGCGGACTCTCAACCACTGCGCCACCAGGGAAGCCCCCCTTACCCCTTTTTTGATATTGGTTTATTCATACATAGTTTTTTAAAACTAGAGAAATGCCTTCTGGTGGAGTTGATACTTGGAGAGGGGAGAGGGGAAAGGAGATGGACACCATTCTCTATTTGTTCTCTATTTGGCCAAACTGTGAAATAAATAGCAGTCTCTTCTCTACCTATTCATGTGTTCCTAGGCCCCCTTCTTTCAAAGCCCACCTTCTATGCTAACTTCTGGCTAACTCCTGATTCTCATTCTTGTTAGTATGTACAACACAGAACAAAGCCATTAATGAGCTAACTTGCCTTTTCTTCCAGGACCTTGATTAGCATTTGAGTCTTCTACAGGTCCTCAAACTTCAAATTAATTTCCTTTGGGACAAAGAGGTTTTTTTTAACTCTGCAAATACCACCACAGGGACCTCAGTAAAAGTTTGTGGATTTGGTTCATTGAGACTTTAAGGCAGATTAACACTTTTCAGTCTATTCAAAATTATTCTAAATTGCAGGAGACGGGGCAAGAGGTGACCGCATCTGTTTACAGACAGAGCTGAACCAGATTACTTGCAAGCTAGAAGGAATCTGCCCCGGCAGCATATCAGGACTGCTAAAGTTTGGAAGCTGAAGTCAGGAAAACTTAACCTGGAGTAATTTGGATATTTGTTCTCCATTTTAATACTGATAGCAAAAAACTTAACGCCTATTATCTGCTTGTTAAATTTACAATTGACACGTAAATCTGAATATCAGTTTATAAGCAGAGGCAACATGCATTGTCTTTACTGCTCTCTCTCTAAGCCCAGAATATTAACTGACCCATAGTAGAGGCTCATATATTTAAGACTCCAAATAACTAAAAGGGACATATTAAGTATGTGGCCTAAAGCAAAATATTTCGTTTCTTTTAGGCCTCAGTTTTAGTTCACAAAGGGAGGAAGAAAATACCAGTGTTTCTGTCAACTTGGCGCTGCCTACAGTACAGGAAACAGAATGTGTTCCATGGTCAAGTTTGGAAAACTTGATCAGAAACATTGTGAATTTCGAAGGGGATGACAGTGGAAGAAGATTCAAAACGTAGCCTGAACTTACGGAAGCAGCAAATTTCTCATCTGGAGCACTTGTTGACATTCCCAGGCTGCACAGCAACCCTATGACAGAGGAACCCTCACCCTATGAGTAAAGGAATGCTCCCCACAGGTTTGAAACAACTTGTCTCATGCAGTCAGCTGAGACAAACTATCACTAAAAGTGAGTCTAACCCCAAAGCCTGTGTTATGCTGCCACTGTTTACTGCGGAGTTTTGACAAATTCTACAAGTGAGGAAAGTTTGAACAGTATATGTAGGGACACAAAGCAAAGACTTCCAACCCAGGCTGAAGTTTCAAAACTGGCATCAATGAGCTGAGGATAGAAGGGGATCCTTTGGAAAAGCAAAAAGCAAACTCCTACATCCCAAGGCAGTCATGTAAGTTGGAAGTCCAGACCATTCATTAACCACAGAGAAGACAGTCTGAGAGTGAAGAGCCTGTAGAATACAGGTAAGCTAAAAGAATCTCCTGGAAAGTCTTTTCAAAACAAATATATTTACCCTGGAGAGAGGGTGGGCTTTTCAGGATGGATGGGGCAGAGATGGGCATAAAAAGTAGAAGCCTATTATGAAAAAGGACCCCGAGTAATATTGAGCATGTCCTCCATCCACTGTCAAACAACTGACCTGAAACAGGACCAGGAGCTCTCTTGGGATGGGCCTGGAGGATCTTATAGTCAGGCAAAAGCTCCAAACAAAATGCCCTATCCAACCCCACCTCAAATCCTACCTGCTCTTACTAAGGTCAGATCTAGTTCATCCTTGAGGGAGGGAGGAAACCATTACACCTTTTAAAAGGATTGAGACCTTGAATCAAGACAGATCTGAGGTCACACCGCTTAAGCTATGAAAAATTGTAAACAAACCAGGAGTACAACCATACCTCCCTTTCAAGCTGATTAACCTTCATCAACTTAGATTCGTTCACCTCTAAACCTTAGTTTCTCCACTTATAGAAAGAGAAGAGGATTTACTTTTCAAGTTATACCTCAAGTCACTCTGTAAGAGATCTAGGGCAGAGCTGGGTCTCAGATTAGCAACCTCTCCCCTGAGGAAGTCTCCTCAGGCCTTCCTAGCCCACTGGCTCTCTCTTCTATGAACAGACCCTTGGTTACTTGTAGTTTGAACAAGGCACGTGAGCACTCACGATGCACACACTTCCTAACTGCAGTTAAAACCCTGAAACCAGGACTAGCCCTCCCAGGACTGCAAAATCCCCTTGCTTCACTGAGCCCCATAGTCCCTATAAATAAAACCACTTAGAAGCCAGCCTCAGAGGGTGGCTGTAAAAGGGAAGAAAAAGATGTTAGGTGTGCTGTGTGACAGCTCTAGACACACCTGTGGAGTTATTATTCTGCAGGCCCCTAGAGGACCTAGGCTGAAAACCGCCGGTTTGCTTGACTGCCCTGGGATGAAGGGCTGGTGGTGGTGGTGGGGTCTCAGAGGAAAAGGAAGACCAGGAAACAAGAGTTAGCAGGGTGGAGCCGGAGGGTGTCAGGATTTTTGGAACCAGACAGGGAGCGGGTGTGGGTGGGTCCAGCAAAGTTTTATTGTTTGCTTTGGGA